GCTACCTTCCTCCATGAAACCTTCAGCTTGTTCTGCTGCTGCATGATACGACCAAGAGGAATCTGCGACTCAGTCAGGTATATGTTGTTGATGTCATTCAACCACTATTTATTATGACCATTTCACTATGATTGCATAACTAAAAAATGACCAACCGGTGACCACTAAACTGAGTGCTATCACTACTAGGATGTACTTTGTATTTATGATATCCAGCGATTATGTATCTTCTTGAATCTATGACCTGAATTCCTATTCAAATCCTTTATGCTCAAGGCCATTTGCGGATTTTAAAAACTCTCTAATTGAGCTTGGGCTACCTGTGGGTGTATGCTTGCAAATGTGCAAATGGCGAGTAGAGTCGAAACCGGTATACATAATGAATGTATACAAGAGCAACCTTTTTGACGAACTCGCACGGAAACTCCTGCTACGCAGGCTAGCCGGTCTCACTTCTCTTTTGTTTATGCAATGAAATAAAAAAATAGCACGGGGTGGCTGCTATTAGGATAATTTCAAAAAAGAACCTTGAACGGTTGAATGCAGATTTCTTGGAGTGACTCTGCATGGTGACAAAATCTGGTAATTATGTTGATAAAGATGAAATGTTTACTTTCGCAGTTCTTTCGATAGAACGCTTTTTTTTTTTTTCATTTTTTTTTTTTGGTGTGAACATTTGGTCGAATTGAAAAATAAATATCCTTTCTTCGGATTCTTACACATTACTGGGATTGCCTACAAACTCAGTCTACATATTGGTATTGGCTAAGCCTAAATTCTTTTCCATCCCAGTTAAGAGACGCAAACACAAAACAAGTGTGGTCTCAACTTGTCATGACTTATCCCTCTTCTTCTCGTACATTCGAAAAGCAGATGGTAGCTTGCAGCTACGCACGAGCTGATGGAAGGAACGTTCCATCGAATAATTTAGGGAGTACATAATGGCCCACGTTCGATATAATAAAATTCTGACACATTCTCGCACGACTCCAGGGCTTTCTTGTCATTTTTCTATATATATATATATATTTTTTTAGGGGGGGGGGGGGGGGGCCCAGTCTCTTCGGGGAATTGCGAAACAATGGGGGGGAAAAAAATTTCAAATTTCGCCCCTACTACAAAACCCGGGAATCATTTTATTTTTGTTTTATATTGTTGGGGAAAAGTTTTTCTTTAATGGTTTTTTTTAACGGTTTTTGGGTTCCTTTGCCGACGAAAATTATTTATTGAACTTTATATATATATATATTTTTTTAGGGGGGGGGGGGGCTCAGTCTCTTCTGGGAATTGCGAGACAATGGAGTCGTAAAAAATTTCAAATTTCGACTCTACTAGCAAACCTCGGAATCATGTTAATTTTGCTATACATTGTTGGTGAAAAGTTTTGCTGATATCGATTTTATTAACGGTTCTTGGCGTCCTTCGCCGACGAAAATTAATTATTGAACTTTATTTTTGCTTGCCAAATTGAAATAATCGAGCAAAAAAATGTAAAGCAAAATAATGTTTTAAGGTTTACACTACATGACGCCATTGATATTTGTAGCCGGCGCTCATTTTACTGACTCGCCTGGAGTAGTTGGTGGCGCCCATTTCAGTCTGAAAAAGTTTTTTGTTAAAATTCAAAATGGATGACGCCAGGAATACTAAAGTGATTAAAAATGTTCTGAAGTCAACCGTTTTTAATTAAACAATAAAAACAATGAGGAGGCGTTCAGAATTGTCAAAAACTTAAAATAAATTAGAGTAAAATCGGTCACAGAGGTAAAATTAAAGAAAACAATCAGCAATAATTGTTAGAAGAAATTCTTGTAGGGGTGTTTTTCCTTTCATAAAATGATTGTCGGCTGATACCGACAGGCAGCTGTACTTGATTTAAAGATCTGGCTCCAAATGGCCTTTAAGTCATTAAATCCGCAGCTTTTAAGCTACAGTCAGGCTATAAACGAAAAGAAAGAATTGGTATTCCAGCTAATGTTCTGAAAAAAGGCTAAAACTACTAAAACTTTTAGTTTCCTCTTCTTAAACTCCATTGAAGATGGGCGCTTTTGCCACAGATGATAAGATTTCCTGAAAAATAATGATTCTTTCAATATGTTGATGTTTTCAAACATGAAGACGGCCAACTATTAACATCCTTAATTTCTTCCTTAGCAGCTTATTTCCTAATGTTAAACTGCATAATGTTAAACTGCATAAAGTGGTGAATGTTGGGACTAGGTATGAGACGATAAAAATCCTAACGACATTTAAAGCTCTCACTTCTCTCGGCTAACGAGGGAGGGGGGATTTTAACAGTCGCGCAAGGCCTTGAAACCGGCTGAGGTTCGTACGATAGATTCCAAGGAAAACCCAATGGTCCTATTTGGTTTCAATGGAGAAAAGACATCAGTTATCTCAAAACGCACGTCAAAATAGACGGCTAGCTGGAAGAGGCGTTGGGGGGGGGGGCGCGGTTTGTGCAAATGGTGCCTGAACAGGTAGTTGGGTTGTATTGGAA